GTCGCTATGAGTCGGTTCCGACTCGATGGCACCTGACAACAACAATTTACTAGCAACAGATGTTCAAGATATTAATCCCACCAAATCAGCAGGAGCTAAAATGCATAAGACTATAAATAAAACTTTTATAAGGCATTGCTTTGACATTTTACATTACTGCTATCGTATGCTTCTCTAATATTTGAACCATACCCTTTCGAAACGTCTGTTTATTTTAGCTGATTCTTGCAATCTTGTTCAGTTTTTCATAATTGAATTAGTCAGTTAGCCTTCATATTTTACTCTCTAAAATGTTCTGTACTTTGGAGCCTAAGGATTCTAATATTTATTAAAAATAGAATTTATTGGTCATTATTTCTTTCACCTGCTATCATTTTAAGATGATTGTTTTTTCTTTTTCTGGGTGACTTTTGTTTTTAGTCTTTGTGTATTAAAGATCCCAAGTTAAAAAAGTTATCATTTAACATCACTGCCTTCGTTGGATAGCATGCTACCTCCTATTGGCTGATGATATCCTTCTGCTGTGTTGATAATTTAGCTTTTGCCTGTATTCTTCCAGAATGGCTAACATAATGTTAAGTTGTGGCAAAAGTGTCTCAGCACATCCATAGGTCTCATTACTTTCAATCATTTGAAATTCTTTGCGCTGTTCCTGGTTGTCCTTTCTGAGCAGGTAAACTTTTTCACTTTCCCCTACTCTTTAATTCCAGAACTTCTTGACTATTTTATTTAGATTATTTATAGATACATTGCTTTCAAATTTTCTAAAAGTTTATTCCCAAGAATACAATATTTTCTTTATATTCATTTCTTTATCTCATATGGATTTTTTTCGCTATGGGTCGGAACCGACTCGATGGCACATAACAACAACAACAACAACAGTTTCACTTCAAATACTTATTATGAAGAATTTCAAACATATAAAAGTATATAGAAAAGTATACTAAACAGTGGTTAATAACAGTCCCCATGGTAAGAATATAGGTATATATATGATTGTTGTTGTTGTTAAGAGATGTTGAGTCTGTTCCGACTCATAGCGACCCTGCATAGGGTTTTCGAAGCTGTAAATCTTTACAGGAGCAGAAAACCTCATCTTTCTCCCGCGGAACAGCTGGTAATTTCAAACTGCTGACCATGAGATTAGCAACCGGATTCGAAACCACTATGCTACCAGAGCTCCTTACACATGGTTATAGTTGTCAGGTGCCATCGAGTCGGAACCGACTCATAGCGACCCCATGCACAGCAGAACGAAACAATG